TCGCTGGTAGGTCGGTGGAACTACAGGTCTTGGCTTTCCTGTCGACACATCACACATCAGAACACCCGAACTTTCAGTCAGCGGGATGAGTTTTACCTGTAGATTGTTTTTTTGTGCTTATTGAGGAAACTGTTTATCCTGATGTTTGCTGTGGTTAGTTCTTGGATATCAACAGGGAAATGCCCAAATAAGGTGTTGATTTCCGGCCGTGATAAGGCGTCTGCTACGGCGTTGTTCACACCGGACAAATGCCGAATGTCTGAGGTAAATTGGGAGATGTAATCTAACTGTCTAGTTCCTCGTGGAGATAGTCGATCAGAAGCGGAACGCAATGCATATGTTAACGGCTTATGATCGATGAATACCGTGAATGTACGCCTTTCCAAGTACTGTCGGAAATGACGCACACTGAGGTAAATAGCTATGAGCTCTCTGCTGGACGTACTGTAACGTCGTTCGACAGCCTGTAGTTTCTTAGAGAAAAGGCAATCGGATACAATTCACCTCTCTGTCGTTGTAACACCACCTACTGCTGCGTCCACCGTTAACTGTAACGGTCTAGGGTCTAGATGCACGAGGACGGTTGCAGTTGCTATCTGATGTTTTAGATCACTGAATGCCGGCTTAGATGATTCCGTAAAGCTGAATGACTTGGCATGCAATTCGTGTAGCTCAGTAAGTGCCTGGGCTAATTTGGAACAGTACGGAATGAATTGTCTGTAAAACTTCACCATGTCCACAAACCAGCGTAACTTTTTGAGGGAATTAAGCATTGGGTACTCAGTGATGGTTGTCACTCTATCGGGTAGGGATGTAATTCCGGCGAAGGAAACACTGTGACCAAGTAAGTCTACCGTATCAACATTACATTAACTCTTGGAGGCATAGTGCAAAAATCGTTCGAAAAGTTGTCGCAAATAACGCAGATGTTCGTCATGGTTAGGACTTGCAACCAAGACATCGTCAATGTAGACAAAAACGTAATCGAGCCCACGAAAGGCCTGATCCATAAAACGCTGAAATGTCAGCTACATTGTGGAGACCAAATGACATTTGCAAGAACTCAAATATGCCAAAGGGAGTGGTGCCGGCAGTCTTAGGAACATCGTGAGTATGGACTGGAGTTTGATGATATACCCGCACTAGATCTGTCTTGCTGAACACTTGCTTTCCGTACAGCGAGGGTGCGAAATCCTGAAAATGCGGAATGGGCTACCTGTCTGGTACGGTGATGGCGTTCAGTCCCCGGTAATCCCCACAAGGTTTCCAATCTCCAGATTTGTTCTTCGGGACCATATGTAGGGGCGTTGCCCACATACTACTGGATGGACGTGTTATGCCCAACTAATATATGGTCGCACTCAGCCTTCGCTGCGGTAAGTTTATCAGGCGCTAATCGTCGTGATCGATGGTAAACCGGACTACCTGTTGTCGTTATCCTATGAACGATCTCACCTTTAACATCACCAAGTTGGTATCCAGGCTTTGTTACGCTGTTAACTTTTCGTAACATCAAAATCCATTGAAGTGGCTTGAGGTGGGACAAGCTGCGGACTCAGACATAATGGAGCTTTTGAAACTAACCTGTGATAGTTGCGTCAGGCCATTGATGCTTTGGCGCCGTTTGCGATCAACGATAAAGCCATGATGCTGGAAAAAATCGAGGCCTCGGATCGAAGTAGACACTTTAGCTACAATGAAAATTGAAGGAAAAATCCTGCGGAGATCAAAATTCAATGTGATAGAACGTTCTCCATAGGTTCGGATGGGCATGCCGTTTGCGGCCTGCAGGCTGTATACCGAGCAGTGCTTCAGGTCCTGTGGACTTGGAGGACTCATACTAACTTGGGCACTAGTGTCTACGAGGAATCGCATGCCAGATCTTATGTCCTGCAAGTAAAATAGGCGACCTGGCTCGCATACGCCAGTTTGCGTCGTCGTCATTACGAGCTGGCATGTTTATTTCCCATATTGGGAACTCGGCACGGCTTTGTGCATTTCCGTGCCTTGTTACAGGATCTCCAGTGATACCAGCATATGCTACGAGAACGACTAGCACTCCGAGTACACCGTTCGTTTGATCGGGAGTTGCTCCTTCGTTTGGCAATGGCGATTGAGGCCAGTTGTTCTTGCAAGGAACGTACGGCTTTCACGAGTGAGTCGTTAGATGCACGAGGCGATAAAGTTGAGATCGTTGGCGCTTGTATCTCCATGATTTTATCAGCCATAAGGGTTAAATCTTTCAGTTCGGTATCCTGATGAGCGTTAGCCAATATTTATTGTGCATGGGTAGGGAGCCGTTCGGAACGCGGCAGCCGTAGAGGAATCAGTCTGATCTCCAGCACCTTCAAATTACTCGCCTCCATAATCCTTGACATACTGACTGGCGCTCGTGAAAGCCAGATTCGTGAGGAGCAAGTCGGCTTTCGTCGGGGTCGTGGCTGCAACGACTTCTTCATCTTGCGTCAGTTGTTAGATCACCGTCACACATATTGGCCGCCCACCGTTGTCGTGTTTCTCGACATCAAAGAGGCCTTCGATTCGGTTGATCGATGTGCCCTTTGAAATTGTCTACTTAGGAATGGTGTGCCCCCGATACGCGCGTAGCTCGGGCAGAGTGAGGACTTACGGCATGCTGTCGCCACCCTTCAATATCTCCAACGGTGTAAGACAATGATGCCCCCTGTCACCTTTCCTCCTCAACTTCGCTGTTGACGAAGTCATAGAAATCGTGTTTACGGGCAGGTGTGGATCTGCTCTCAGGAGAACGACTTCTTGACTTGGAGTATGCTGACGATATTGCCCTAATCTGTGAGAGCTCCCCGAGGTGCCAAGCGGTACTGGACAGATTAGCACTAGCTGTCCATCACTTCGGGCTTTGCTTTGCACCATTGAAATGCAAAGGTTTCCTCCAAGATTGGCAGGGATCGCCTCCTGCGCTGACCCTTAGTGGGGATCAGCTAGAAGTCGTTCAAAAATTCAACTACCTGGGAAGTTGTATCAGCGGCCGTGGGATTGAAGATGAGATCACGAACCGTATAGCAAAAACTCTAGCCACTTTTGCTAACCTTCGCCATCTTTGGCGGCGGCACGACACATATTGAGATTCTGCCGCGAAAACCACGGGTCAAGCTGGAGCACGCATCGTTCTCAGCTCCAAGCCTGTATTGTCGCTAGTTGATTGGATTTCCTTGTGTAGTCGTTTGTGTACAACCAGTTTGACGACATAAAATTAGGGTCACCACGCGGAATGGCACCAGATACTGCAGTAGACTCTTGTGCTCCTGTCGACTGCAGTCCTAATGCTATCAAGGACACCTCACGAACGTAACACGCTTCTTCGCAGCGTAACCAGTTTAGATGTCTTTGTAGTTGCAGAGGATATGCATACGACCGGCTCTTGGCGCTATGGATCACCAACCTGCCTTGTAATCCGCGGGTACGGGTTCGAGCATGCGTAGGTATCAGGCGACCCTCGCAGTATCCTTAGCCCAGGTGCGACAGGTGGTGATTGCGCTGCAGCGAAGCGTCAGTACTGCGTACTGGCCTACTGCTGATAGCTTATTCTACATGATTACGCACTTTAAGTCGTCTGAGCTAATCAGATGCCCAGCCAGGCTGTAAGTATTAGCTTAGCTCCGAACAGATGAACAATGGTGAATGTTTGTAGCAACTGTGCTCCGAGCCTCGGCTGCTTCTTAGCAGCACCGCTTTCAGACACAGTGGGAACCGAAGTGCAACTTGGCTCTTTCAGCTGACCAACGGTAGACTATTAAGTGACGTAATGACTTGATTCTATCCTTGATTACAACGTATTCTGGAATACTTGCGCCGAATCTTATCGTGCCTTGTTGCGCTGCCAGTATTCCCTAATCTACCGTTCCAAACGTTTGAATCAACAACTGAGAAGTGAAACCTAACAGGATGTTGTGTGTACAGAACTTTCACTCTCTTACCCTAAGGACATTGAGCTTAAGCGGAACAGTATCACACTGATTATGCAGGATGTGGAAAATCTGCATGCGGCATTATCTGTCGTCGCCGCACCAATCGCTGGATATCCGATGAGTTTATGAACTCATCAGTATCCAGATGCAAACTTCCTATTAGCACCTAGCAAAATGTAACCAGACGGAATATTAGGAGCGAGCTGAAACGGAGCCTGCGCGTTGACAAGGAAGGCTGGTGGACTCAAATGCCTCAAGAAATAGAGGAGACAGAACTAGTAGGTAATTACCGTAGCCTCCTCTAATTGATCCGCACCACCGATTGCAAAAACTTGTCCGTCAATGGGATGATCAAAAGCGACACGGGCGGCGTAACTCGCTATCAGAAATGTCGTTTCTCTTGTTCTGTTATTCACCGTTCCTTGATCCCTTTTACGCTCGAGTAGTGTATACCGAACCATAGCCGATCAGTCTAGAGGTTATGTTGGGGCATACGTTTAGGAACGCGATGCTGGTCCTCTGTTGTCTTCGCACTACTAGCCCGGATTCTGTCTCACCCAGGGCTATGCAGTACTGGTGATGAGGTCCTCTGCAAATAAATAACTCACATGGCCGGATTTGTGTGGGGAAAATCTACCTCAAGCAACTGAGGCGAATTCGGATTCAGATCGTTTCCCCTTCCTCTTTTCTTCTATCACATTTTCTACACTAAGCTGAAAACGTGAGTCAAAGCAATAAAAACTGCCACACTCACAGACCACAATTTTTGAAATGGCCGGACTGTTTACCATCTTTTATTCCGTACATCAACAGCACAGGTTACTGTCGTTTCACTTCTGTTAATGCCTTTGGTAGGTTTTAGCCTATGTCGTCCTTAAACATGAAACCTGTTTATGCGAAGATGTCCGGCCTGATCACTGGAAACGTTTGTACCTGTTATGTAGCCATTGTGTTGCGGTTGTCCTTCACACCAGTGTATATTCGAACAATACCAATAATGTTCCCAACTATTTACTGAGCATCTTACTCTCTCCTGACCTCAATTCATTTCAGCTTTCTCTCCAACCGATCTCAGTTTTGAGTGCTGGCGCAGATGAGGAGAAGGCAGAAACTGCCCGATTGGTGAGTATTTATTTTCGTTTCACCCTCGCTTAGTCATCCTTTGTCGGAGCAATAGCAATAGGAGACTTGATCAAGACTACCTTGGGCCCCAAGGGTATGGACAAAATTCTGTTGTCTTCCGGAGACACCGTCGTTGTTACTAATGATGGAGCGACAATTCTCAAGTCCATTGGTGTAGACAACCCTGCTGCCAAAATTTTGGTTGGTATGTTTCACTATTTTTCGTTTCATGAACACCACTAAGAAATGAGCAAAGCACAAGATGATGAAGTTGGGGACGGTACCACTTCTGTAGCAGTCCTGGCTTCCGAACTTCTCCGAGTAAGGCTCATCTCCGTCAACTTTTGCTTCCTATGCTCATAGGCTGCATCTTATAGTCAACTCATTATTCTTGTTATCATGTTTGCACTCTCATGGAATTTTTCGTTATTTTGGTCAGATAGGTATTGTAAAGCTGTGGTTGCAGTCGATGTATACATATGCTAGGGATCAGCTAAAATTCGACTTGTGCAGCACAATCTGACGCTGGGTCCAGCGTTCTTGCTATCTTTTGAGTGTCCATAACTTGCTTCACGTCTCATAGTGGATTTGCTTCCTCACATAACGATCTGCAGAAGCTGCAGACATGCTACTTGAAACGGGATTTAAGACGCTGCAGTCAATGCCCATTTCCTAGGCTTCACCGTCGCTTGCTTAAGAGAGTTTTTATACTGCGCTTGACAACGTTGGATTGCTTAGACTACTTCCAGTGCTCTTTCCGCATCTCAACTAGGCCACTAATGTATTTTCAATAATCCCCATTATCACAACACCAAATGGGTGTCATCGTTTAACTCCCGTTCAGCTTTCTATAGCGCTTTCTACTTGTGCAGTTGGCTACTGTGAGGGTTCTGCGACACACACTGCTCTAGCGGCCAACGGTAGTATTCTTTCGGTAGCATCTTCAGTCCAAATCTTAGCATGATTAGTTGGTGCAACCTAGCTGGATAGTATTTTTTTAAAACAATACCTTACAGGTCCTCACACAGACGGTTTTGTGTACGAAGGGCGTTACTGTGTTCCTTGTTTCTCTACGAAAAACCACCAGTACTGGAGTTAAGCGTCACTTCCTCAATATATCTTTTCTTCTCCCGTTACCACATGGCGAGGTAGCTATTCACCTCGCAGTAACCACGGCCTTTAGTCGGCCTTGGTTTATTTTCTCGAAATCGTCGCAATCTTTTTCTAACCCTGATCATATTCAAATTATCGCTCTACTCCAGCAGTACCACCGGTAGAACAATTGGAAGGTCCACCAGTTATTTATTCACCGGATATAAATTAAAAATTTCATTATCAATTAACTTACATCACTCACACTGGTCGTTTGTTTCTTATCCGTCTGCTTAAGCTTGCTTCGTGAGTTACCTAGGTTGCCGTTTGTTTTCTAGCGGATTAATTTGCGAAATCAAAGTAACTATGGGGTCACCAGGCTGCATTAGACATTCGTGCATTTACAACGAGGGTCGGTAGAATTGCCGCCCAATCCCTGATCAACAATGCTCTAATGTTCTTTCTCGACCACCCCTTCAGGAACCATGCTAACTCGCCAACTGTGATTTCAGTCGGGAGTTTCCGTTATTTGCTAACTTGCTTCTACTTTTTGCATAACCTCAGTCACGTGACTGTAAAATTGCTTTATAATAGTCTTGCAGCTTATTTCAACTGGAGTCAGGATGCGGTTTATGTACGCGAATGGGTACATCTTCAGCATTTAACATTGTCAAGTGCAGATGGGCAAAATGACACCATCAAAAATACGAACTTTTACAAATGAATAAACATAAAGGGTAAGGTTGCACTGTTGTCACCCGAGCAAACGAAATCGCTTTTCCGAGCAGCGATCGCACTTTACTGAACAGAATCAAGAACTGGCTCCAGTCGACAGGAGATAATTCGGTTAAAAATTTCTTCCTAATTGTTTCAAATGGCCTCAATTACTTGGCAAAAGCAGCGAATCGTGCGTGCTACCCTGGCTTGAATGTTTATATATATATATATATATATATATATATATATATATATATATATATATATATATATATATATATATGTATAGTGCCCCATGCTGAGGCTGATGTTGCATTCTTGATGCTTCTTCACCGCAGTTGGGCTAAACCAACTTACACTTAAACTAGGTCTTTTTAAGCTGGATAAATTTCATTCCGCTTTATTTGGTTTGTTCTGCCTCCCTGAATAACGTTCTATTAACTGGCCACGTTGCATACACTAATTGTGCTTATCTTCGGTAATTTTGTTGCGTTTGTAGCATTTTAAGTAACTTGTGGACATTTCTTACTTATCACGGATTTGTTGTTAACGCAGTTACTTCATATGGTAAATTAGCGAAGAGTTATGCCACCGTATCTGTATGCATTGTTGGATTTATTTTATTTCAGCTTGTCGTTTGAAGTGAATGGCTGTTGTTTGATATCCCCGGTGTGGTTGCGCTTGATGTGTATGTTGACAAGGTGCCTACCTGTCTATTACCCACTACATCGTTCATACTGGCTCCAGGAGACAGTTGGTCGTTGCTGGAGGGGACGGGGTGCACGGTTCTTGTGGCCGTGCTAGGCTCAAAGAGCGGTTCCATGCACTCAGTGTGGAGCGGACTACGGTCCAGCCACCGCCTTGTGTGCGGTTGATTCCCCAAATACAGCGTGCTTGTGTTTGCCTGTGAAGGAGTGTGGGCCGGCTCCGTTGATGAAACGTGGTTCCCATCCGCATGCCTCCCGGTCTTATTCCTTCGGGTTTACACTGGATATGGGGTATGTGGTTGGAGATGTGGGTGGTGCAGCGCAAGCCATCCATGGTCCCTCTGTAGGCGCAGGCGTCCTGTGGCTTGCCACAGTGACAGGCAAATCCGAAACCGGATGCCGCCAACCATGTATGTATGTTGTGCCCCATGCTGAGGCTGATGTTGCATTCTTGATGCTTCTTCACCGCAGTTGGGCTAAACCAACTTACACTTAAACTAGGTCTTTTTAAGCTGGCTAAATTTTATTCCGCTTTATTCGGTTTGTTCTGCCTCCCTGAATAATGTTCTGTTAACTGGCCACGTTGCTTACACTAATTGCGCTTATTTTCGGTAATTTTGTTGCGTTTGTAGCATTTTGAGTAACTTGTGGACATTTCTTGCTTATCACGGATTTGTTGCTAACCAACTTACTCCATATGGTAATTTAGCGAAGAGTTATGCCACTGTAGCTGTATGCATTATTGGATTTATTTAGTTTCAGCTTGTCGTTTAAAGTGAATGGCAGTTGTTTGATATCCCTGGTATGGTTGCGCTTGATGTGTATGTTGACAAGGTGCCTACCTGTCTATTACCCACCACATCGTTCATACTGGCTCCAGGAGACAGTTGGTCGTTGCTGGAGGGGACGGGGTGCACGGTTCTTGTGGCCGTGCTAGGCTCAAAGAGCGGTTCCATGCACTCAGTGTGGAGCGGACTACGGTCCAGCCACCGCCTTGTGTGCGGTTGATTCCCCAAATACAGCGTGCTTGTGTTTGCCTGTGAAGGAGTGTGGGCCGGCTCCGTTGATGAAACGCGGTTCCCATCCGCATGCCTCCCGGTCTTATTCCTTCGGGTTTACACTGGATATGGGGTATGTGGTTGGAGCTGTGGGTTGTGCAGCGCAAGCCATCCGTGGTCCCTTTTGTAGGCGCAGGCGTCCTGTGGCTTGCCACAGTGTCAGGCAAATCCGAAACCGGATGCCGCCAACCATATATATATATATATATATATATATATATATATATATATGTATATACATATGTATATATATATATATATATACATATATCTATATGCCTCATGCTGAGGCTGATGTTGCATTCATGATGCTTCACCGCAGTTGGGCTAAACCGACCTACACTTAAACTAGGTCTTTTTAAACTGGATAACTTTCATTCCACTTTATTTGGTTTGTTCTGCCTCCCTGAATAACGTTCTATTAACTGGCCACGTTGCATACACTAATTGCGCTTATCTTCGGTAACTTTGTTGCGTTTGTAGCATTTTTAAGCAACATGTGGATATTTTTTACTTATCGCGGATTCGTTGCTAACCAACTTACTCCATATGGTAATTTAGCGAAGAGTTATGCCACCGTATCTGTATGCATTATTGGATTTATTTTATTTTATTTTGTCGTTTCAAGTGATTGGCTGTTGCTTGCTATCCCCGGTGTGGCTGCGCTGGATGTGCATGTTGACAAGGTGCCTACCTGTCTATTACCTACTACCTCGTTCGGTTTTTATCCGAGATGTGTTATGCAACCAGAGTACACAGCATCTTTGGTGCAAATTTCTCGCTCGGAAAAGGTTTGTAGGAATTACATCTTTTAACAGCACAGACTCTTGGCCCCATAGGCTTGAGTGAGTTTTATTCAACAAAGATAGGGTGAGAACATGTTGGACCCGGGACGATGCGTTATCTCATTTAACGGCGTGATTTCCGTCGCATTGATCCTCGACCATCTGCGCTACTCATGCAATAGGGACACTCCCGGTATTGCTCCCGCGATCAGCATCATGTAGTTGTACTGACCAATTGATCCGTTGGCTCTGTGCTTCTCAGGGCTACTGGGCTCTGTACACAACGGACTAAACGCGGTTACTATTGCGTCCCAGAGCTCATGTAACTCCATAAAACTTGCTAACCATCTTTACAGATGTGCACAGTCGACTGACCTCATGCTCAGAACGGTTTGCTGCTTAGCAGCTACAAAGTCATCGATCCGAGGCGTTCAACGAGGAACGAAACCACTCCTTTCTCGTTTTCAGCGAGACACGCATGCGACAGCATGTTCATGCAAATTTGAACATGTTGTACTAAAACGAACATCATCATTCATTATACATGTCAGCTAGAGGTGGGAAACACCTCAGCTACTGTGCTGCAATACATAGAGGGAAAGGAAAATAAATACAATAGTTGCATACCACTTAGGCGACCAGCAACGGAGAGGCATCGTTCCGGTAAGCTACCAACCGGCTCATAGGCAAAAAGAAAATATTATGTTTTACGAAATGAGATCGTAGCTGGAGAGGGAGGCTAAAAGGAATGGGGAGGGACAAAGAGACTCACAGCAGGAACGCCACTGAGGTCGGCTCCTTACCATATCAGCAAGTACATCCAGCCAAACATGGAGCCGTGAAGCTCCAACCGAAGCCAGCTCCGAAATGAGGGCCTTCATTCCTCTTGACCAAGTCATCACTTGGCCACCCCTCCTCTTCTTCCATCCACATCCCCGGTGGGCAAACAACGCACGTCGCGGGAGTCGGTGGGCTGGCATGCGTAACATGTGGCCGAGCCATCGGAGCCTAGTGCGTGAAATAACGGTGCGGAGCGGTTCAGTTCCTTTTTCTGTGCCGTCAACAAGGCGTCGAACACACTGGTTGCTCACGCGGTGTTCCCACCGGATGTGAGCTAAATTTCGAAGGCACCGGTGGTCGAACGTAACTAGCCTCTTTATGTCCGCCGCTTTAAGGGGCCAGGTTTCACAACCGTACAGTAAGGTCGAACGTACCGCTGCATTGTACACTCTACTTTTCAGGGCGAGAGTGATGTCACGTTGGCGCCATAGGTGGCGAAGGTTAGCAAAAGTGGCTCCAGTTTTTGCTATACGGTTCGTGATCTCATCTTCAATCCGACGGGCGCTGATACAACTTCCCAGGTAGTTGAATTTCTGGACGACTTCTAGCTGATCCCCACCAACGGTCATCGCAGGAGGCGCTCCTTGCCAATCTTGGAGGAAACCTTTGCATTTCAATGGTGCAAAGCAAAGTCCGAAGCGGCTGACAGCTAGTGCTAATCTGTTCTGCGCGGCTTGGCACGTCTGGGAGCTGTCACAGGTGAGGGCAATGTCGTCTGCATACTCCAAATCAAGAAGTCGTTTTCCTGGGAGCACCTTTGATGTCGAGGAACACGACTACGGTGGGCGGCCAATATGTGTGACGGTGCTCCAACAACTGACGCAAGGTGAAGATGTCGTTGCAGCCACGACCCTGACGAAAGCCGACTTGCTCCTCACGAATCTGGCTTTCACGAGCACCAGTCAGTCTGTGAAGGATTATGGTGGCGAGTAATTTGAAGACGATGGAGATCAGACTGATTCCTCTATGGTTGCCGCATTTTGAACGAGAGCCTCCTTTGAAGATGGGAACAAGAACGGAGCGGCTCCAGTCGGTTTGGACAGTCTCCTGCTCCCACAGTTTCACTAGTAATTCATGTAAATCATCAACACGAGTAGAGCCTCCGAATTTGAAAAGGGCTAGTGGAAGATCATCTGGTCCCTCGGCTGTGTTCAACTTCAACGGTGCGATCTCACGTTCGACTTCTGAGCGAGAGGGTGGATGCCATGGGGCAGCACAGGGAGCGGGGCGGTCAGTGGTCGGCAATTAATCTAACAATCCCGATCGATTAAATTGCCTTCCAAACTGGTCGGCCCAACACTCCAAGCGTTTTGACAAGTTGTGTATATGCTGTCCACTCTCGTCACGTATAGTTTCACTAACATCAGGTCTCCTGCATCCCGTTTCCCGTATCAGACGGAATAACTTACAATGGTTACCCAAGGGCAGCGGCCATTTCCATCTCTGATGCACGATGAAACCACCAGGATTCGTGGTCTCTCTTCAGGCTAGCACGGAGTTTTGCCCGGAGATCTTTGCGAGTTTCATTGTGTTCGCTTCCAGCCGGGATATGCCGGCGAGCGTCGATAAGTTCCAGAGACTGCGAAGAGACCGAATATCCATGTTGGCGATTAGACATTCCACATGAGGATTTGCCTGCTGCTAGTAAGGTCTGGCGAACATGTGACCAGTGACCATGAATTGTCTCCAGTGAGCGCTTACTCAACTCGCATGTCAGCGTACTGTGATGCGCATTCAGAACAGCTGTCTTTGTCAGTTGGCTGGTGTCAATGTGCTCACAGCGTCGTCGTGGGCGTCCGCCAAAACACATCCGCATGTCAGCACATACAAGTGCATGACCGGTTTCCACTCATGTGCTCTAAATCGAGCTACAGTTCTGGATGCGGCCTCTCCAGCTGTAACTGATAGCAATGTGATCGATCTGCGTCCAAGGCTAGTTCGAGGCTGGTGGGCGCCAAGTCACCCTCCGGTGGGTGCTGTATCGGAAGTTAGTACTCGCAAGAAATAAGCGGGCATCTCCACACAAATGAAGTAACCGCTCACCGTTATCATTACGGGAGCCTACACCGTGCTGACCGCCCAGATGTATTTCATCAGTGGACAACTTTCCAACTTGAGCGTTCAGATCCGCCGCCAGCACAGCAGTGTCCGAGCTTCTTCTGTCGCGAAGGAGCTGAGTCAGTTGGCGGTAGAAGTCGTTGTTTACTAAATCATCGCTATAGTTTGTGGGCCCGTAGGCGGCGATGATGAATAGATACCTGTTAGTCGCGCGCGACTTCGAAGCTTTGAACGAGCCAGCCAATCGGACCGCACACAACCGGCTACTGATTGGAATTCAGTCAACCAGAGCAGCTTCACCCCGGGGACTCAGGGCAATACCAACACCGGCTTGGCCGGTGCTCGAAGCTGCATCGTCACCGGATAGGCGTAATGAGAAAATACTGCTTGCGTCATCTGAACGGAATCGCAAAGTGTGCACGGAGCTCGAGTCTTGCAGGCGGGTCTCCGATAATCAGCAGATGTCGATCGAGAGGGTCTCTAATGTTCGGGCAAATGCTACCTGTTGACCGATTTGTAGCAATGTGCATACATTGAGGCATGCCAATCTGAAAAATGATCGAGGGCTCCAAATGGAACCCGATGAACTGGAATGGACCGCTTGGTTGGACATGGGCTTGTCGACAGGAGAGGAGTGACGCTTCGCGTTAGCATGTGAACTGAAAGTGGAAGATAAATGCCTGGCAAAGCTTGTTGGGGGATGGCCAAGAATTGGGGGGGTTGGAAACTAGGGGGATAAAAGTGAAGTTGGAACGGGACGGTAAGAGTGAAAAATCGTAAGGTGGGGAATAAGAAGACGGGAAGGCTTGAGCAGTAGCATCCAAATCCCTATCCACCCCGCTCGATGCAGAAGATAGGGCACTGTTTATTATCCTCTGCGGCGACCAGAGCATCAAGATATTTTTTGACGAATGATTCAACTACAACGAACACGATTGATCGGGAAATGTCCAGCAGTAATGCAAATCTATTTTCGATATTGATAGGGTAAACATGTTGTTTGTTGTTTCAGAGCGTCATCTTTTGTAGCGCAGGATGTCTATATTGAGGTTGTTAGGCCCCTTGAGAATATGGATGCAGAAAGCTTAAACGATGATTTTGGATAATTTGCAAGCGAGTTTAACACAAGTATAAAGTGTGTATAACCTTTTTGTTTTACGTTGTGACGGCTGCTTTACTCAATGCTGTTCAGTAATATCGAATGTTGGTCGTGGCACCCACATGGCACTGGAGCAAGAGACGCATAGAAAAGAAAATTGTAAGAGTAGACTGCAATAAGAGTGATAGAAACATCGACAGTGAGGACGGGAAATGTAGACGTGTATTCACTTGACTTCCTCCCTCAGTACGCACTTGTTAGTGTTAACTTTGTAGTTAGCCCAGTCGTGTGAGAGGAAGAAAGAATACAAAAGATGATACTTCATCGTCTCGCATCGCCACAGCCACGGGTGAGCGAACGTTAATTTGGCAGTGGGAAATGAATTCAATGACGGCCAAACTGGGTGCTTTTGGTCAGTCTCGCATTCCAGTCTGAAGTTCACGTGACACACCTTGTGCTTGGCTCGCATTTGGCACTAGTGACGCGTATACTGTCGTCTCTTAGTCGGACTGCTTGTTTAAAATGTTTTCTGTGTTGAGTTATCTGCTTGGTAATGGCTGATTATGACGCAGAGCAGTGAAAGTCACAAGGAACCTGTCTCGTTAGATACCGCCTTGTCTTTGCACGATAACCAGCTGCTTGTGATGGTATGTTGTTTGATACAAGATGTAGGGGCCTTGACTCTGAATATTTGTTTAGGGCACTAAGATTTTACACTATTTCTCTTCATCTTCTTATTTTTCGTTCCCTCGGTCACCATGGTTGTACGGTAGCGAAGAATCAGTTTAAGTAGCTGTACTGCTGTTGATGATGATGACTGTTTCATGGTTGCTTTTCTACAAGTAGTTGACCACAGATTATTGCAGTACGGTTCAAGATACCTAACGTTTTTCGATCATTAACGTTACCATTTCTTGTTACACAGGAAGGAGAGCAGTTGATCGCTGCCAAGCTCCATCCCCAAACCATCATTCTGGGTTGGCGTGAAGCTGCCAAGTTGGCGATCGACGCACTGAACTCGGCAGCTGTGGAACACAGCAAAACTTCCACCGATCTACACACTGATCCTGGTTTCCGTGAAAAGCTGTTGAATATAGCGCGCACAACTATCAGTTCCAAACTGCTAACGCAACACAAGGAACACTTCGCTAATCTCGCTGTTGACGCCGTTTTGCGGCTTAAGGGAAGCGGAAATCTGGACGCCATCCATGTGAGTTTTTGGCCACTCTGTAGCTTCCTTTCTGCTTTATCACCTATTTGGTATTCCACCTCCCTGGTTCACCATTTTAATGTTATAGCCGTGTACACCTTTGGTCACTCGTCGCATAGCATTGCATTAGTTACCTCTCCCACGCTTCTGGAAATACTTCAGCTGCTATTTTCTGGCTTAGTGCCTGTCATTTCTGCTTCTTGCATTCACGCGACTTCATCACACGCCAAATGTTTTTTGTCAATAATTCTTGTTATCCATTACTTGATTCCTATGTTCATAAATCTGTCTGCGATTCTGGATCCACCGCAAATCATGAAATTCCTACTGCGGCCCTCCTCCGACCCCGATCCTCGTTCCATCTGGCGTGCTTCAACGTACGGACACTCATGCAGATTGGACACCAAGCCGGTCTAACGCGCACCCTGAAATCCCTCGATGTTGATGTCTGCTATCTTTCCGAAAAACGATTACAGAACCCTAGCACTGTGTTTACGCTGTTATCCTCTACTAACCACGATGCCGCATACCACCTGCGTCTTTCTGGAGACCGAGTAGTAGTGTCAGGAGTTTGGCTGTTGTATGTATAGCACTAACCCGAAGCAATGCTGAGGTCGCACTGCTGGCCTGGTTCCCGATTAACAGCCAACTGTGTGCAGTTCGGCTTCGAGGATCATGCATCATGAGACGAGACGCAACTTGTTTAAACAAATAAATTTATCCTCGGCAGTTCGGGGCACGCATGCATTGGCATGCTCATGGTGACACAGTCATGTTTGGGGCAACGATCATTATCTGACCGGAAAAACGGGAAGCTCGGAAGACGTGTTTGTGAGCTCCACGTACGCTGTAACTAACTGCAGTAGTGGCTCTGTCGAGGACGACTTTTATCGAGCGCTTCACCAGCTCTTGGGCCACGCCAACAGCTTAAATCTCGTTGTCCTCGCTGGTGATTTCAATGCACAGGTTGCCCAAACGGACGTCACCTTGGTAGTAACCACGTACTCGATGAGAACAGCTCGGATAACGAAGATAGACTTCTCACATTGTGCGAATATAGCCATCTGTTTTTCTCAGGCACCAACATAACTCATACGAAGAAATCTTACGTGACTTGGTGTCCTCCTTCGCCAACACAGGCGTGGTCTCAAATTTGTCACATTGTAATCACCTTCAGCCGGCGTGGCAGCGTACGGGTCTCTAACACATTTTGGTTCACCCTTATTGACTCAGATCATACGCTGGTCTGTGCGATAATCTGTATGTGTTTTGGGGGGTCCCCAAGAACGAAGCAACCTAAGATTGTTGCGAACAGACTAAGTGATTCCTCGGTCCATGCGAGCTATCAGTCTTCACTGGCAGACGCACTCAGTTGCACTCCACCGCAAGGCATTGAGTGACACTGGACTTGTATACCGGAAGTAATGTTAACTTCCGGACAATTAAGCTGCAGCCTAACTCGATGCCCCTTAAAAGCCTGAACGCTTGCTCACTGTCTGGAACAGTTCGACCACCGCAGAGATATCCCGGCAGAATCTGATCGCAACGAGCGGCGCCTTTCTGCCAACCGGCTGCTGAGGTAAAGCCTACGCAAGGATCGTGAATCTTGATGGTCTGAGCGTGCGTTAGAAATGCCAACCGCAGCCATCTCTGGCACCACTCGCAAGGTTTTTCCAGCTCATTCGATCCACTAGTCTCAGGAAGACCGGTGTCAGTGAGGTCGTTTGCGAGGTGGATGGGTCTCTGACCACCAACCAGCTGAGGCGCTTGGACCGCTGGGCTGAGAACTTCCACTCGTAATTCAACTGGCCTCTACCGTCCATCCGTGTGCACAGTATACTCTATTGCCTAGCTTGCATGATCCCACTGGATCCACTCAGCGAAGTGGAAGTTCTTCTCTGGGTTCAGCACTTGAGTCGACTCGATACTGCCTGTTTAGACGGACTTCCTACGAAGCTGTTAAGGTACGATGGCGGAGCAATCATTCATAGTGCTTCTTGGGGCGAATCCGTTATTGTCCTGATTTTCATGTGTCAATCTTTAAAGGGATTAGTTTCATTTTGTTTGCTACCAGGCTGTTAGCATTCATTCTGCTTCGTAGGCTATCCCCAATACGCCAATTATACTACCTTGAAGAACACGCTAGTTTCTTTCTCGGCCGTGACTACGCGGATCAAATCTTCACTGTCCACCAACTCTTATAACATGGCCATATTTACCGTACGCACAATGTCCTCGCATTCCCGGCCATAGGCGCTGTATTCAATTCGGTTGATCGACCTGCTATATGTCATTGCTAGCTAAAGAACGAGGTGCAAGTGAAGTATACCGCCACTCTACGCGCACTTTCCCTTCATTTCTCTCGCAGATTGAGGGTCAACGACAAGCTTCCCTCTCCCTTCACTGTCAGTAGCAGTGTGCGTGAGGATTGACTTATGTTCCCGCTCCTCTTTAACTTTGCAATCAAAGGCGTCCCATCGAGAGCTCTAGGAGGTTCCTAAAATTTTAGCTTTCACTTTCTGTCTGGTGAACTCGAAACCCACTTAGACTTTGCTGATGAGATTGTCTTACTTGGTGATGATACGCATAGTATACAACTCATTCTGAACCGTTTAGCGGCTGAAGCATCCAAGCATGGATTGACCTTCACCTTTCGAAGTATAAATTGCTGTTTACCCATGAAGGTGCACAACTTAACCAGGTAGATAGTTTCGTGTATCTTGGGAACTGTGTTTCTGCTAGCGACACTTTCAGAAAGGAAGTTTCTCTGCATCGCTATAGCCTGATCAGCATTTGTCAATTTGAGGCACTTGTGGCATCGTCGGGACGTCTTCATCTTCGTGTTGACAGTTCCTCTGTTCGTTCAATTTTTTGTATGGGAGAGAATCCTGGCCAATTCGCGTGGAGAACATGCGCCTTCCACAACGGTTTGAGTAGGTTCGCTCGTGTGTGTGTTGACAACACCGAATTCACAGTAATGAAATTGGACGTCGCCTCCTGGGGAATGCGAGTGTTCCTTTCAACAAACTGCCTTTGCTTCTCCCGAGCGTTTGCCGCGTCGCGCTCTACTCGCTCGTTCAGGACCGGGCTGGAGGCGACTGCGTGACGATCAGCCTTCTACTTGGCAACAGCACATGAAATCGCTGACGTCATGTTTGCCTGCCGTTGGTCCCGTATGTCTTCCTGGGGATCCACATATGAAGATTGACAGAGGCTTAACACGCTTGAAGATGTGACTCGCAACCGGAGTCATTTAAAGAACTGCATAATTTTATTGATTCAGTTGTTTAATGCCTGAAACTTCGAAAATAACAACGGAATATATCTGCCTGGGAAAGAAAAAACGTTTCGTTTTATTTGTGATCAAATCGTATTCCCCTTTCGATTCCCATGTTTCTTTACAATGGTTTTATGTCCAACTTTTGGAGTGTAGTATATATATATATATATATATATATATATATATATAGTACATTGTTTTCGACACTGCTACTTGTCTTCTGCTAATGGACTACTCGCCACAGTATCTCTCAGAATTAACTTTTACGCCTCCTGTCGCTTAGGAGTGAAGTTTGGAAGCAAAATGTAGATCATCTATTTTTGTCATGTAGCCGCATTCGTTTTAAACTTTTATTCGTTATACTTGTTTCTTGTATTCATGGCAAACCTCTCTCCAGTAGTTCCGCTTATCATTGGTTCGATGGGTCAATCTAGAGTCTCTCAGTTCTTATACAAACAACCATTGACATCCATCGAAGATCATCGGAATGAGATTTCCTATTTCTTCTCACCTTCAGCTTCCCGCAACTACATGCCCACCCACTTGTATTGGACATTGCCATATTTTTACCTACAGTTGTCAATTCTTTTGAGAGCTGCTGTTTGTTCCACTCGTGTTTTATCTGCGATGCACCCTAAACACCACTTTGCACTTTAATTTTTTGGCGGATTGTTTGTCCGATCATTCTTCATCTCCAACTTCATCGTGCGCCGACTTGCTCTCCCCACCTACCTCAGATCATCCACAAATTGGGTGGCACTATGATTGATTCATATCTCGACGACGGTTTCTTATTGGATAAGCGTCCTGGTGTGAATCAGCCGAAGCGCATAGAAAATGCAAATATATTGATCGCGAACACTTCCATGGATGCCGACAAAATAAAGGTCTTCGGTAGCAAAATACAAGTGGACGCTATTTCCAAGGTCGCCGAGTTGGAAGTAGCCGAAAGACAGAAGATGAAAGAGAAGGTGGATAAGATTCTCAAACATGGGTGCAATGTGTTCATAAACAGGTGAGTTATCCTCTTTTTCCACTGCTTGCCTCTAATCGTCTGTTTTATTCCGATCATTCATGATACATGGACCATTTGATGTTTTCTCATTCATGTGCTCCACTGCTCTGAATTTCTACTGTCCTGTACAACACTTCGTGCTGTTGAGCTTATTTTATGTACTTGCTATAGTAGCAGGCTCCTGCAGATAGAAACGAACAGTGGGCTGCGGTCAGAATTTTTTTAATAGCAAGGCAATTTACTATCTGCAGGATACGTCACGCTCCGTTCATGTGGGTTGCAACTAACTTTTCTTCATATCCATTGACTGTACGGTTCCACCAAAGGAACTGGTTAATCGAAAATTAATACCCGACTCACTCGCTCACTTGTGGATGGTTGTTGAAACAATGTTAATCAATAAATCTCGAATAGCCCCTTGTCTAGTCGTCCTGACCTCTCAACCACTATCACACTTATTGCTTTGTCACTTATTCCTAATGGTCCAATGGGTTTGTCCAGCTTGTCTCATTCACTTTATTCGTGATGACTAATGAAGCCATTTGAGTCCACTTTTGTTCCCTACAGGCAACTCATTTACAACTACCCAGAACAGCTCTTCACTGACGCTGGCGTTATGGCAATTGAACATGCGGACTTCGAGGGAGTTGAACGGCTTGCTCTGGTTACCGGAGGCGAAATTGTATCCACTTTCGATAGCCCCGATATCGCCAAATTGGGCCATTGCAAGCTAATCGAGGAAGTAAGTTTTACACTCTGTCATTCCCATTCCATGTATCTACTCATTATAATCGACCACAGAATATCTCTGGGATATGCTTTCCTTGTTTCTAAGAAACCAAACATCTATCCTTATCCTGTCCTATCATCTCTTTGTATTCCTCAGCAGGTTTTGGGTCACATTGTCCTCACAACCTACTCTACATAAAACCGTGGCGGCGTCGTTCCTTTGTGTTTTGCTTGTTCTTATTTATTGTTTTCAGTTCCGTCATTTATTCTGACACCTTTGTAGCTGTTACATTGCTCTTATCATAACCTTGGCTCACTCTTTTTGTTGAGATTCTTCAACCAAGTAGTTATAACTAATTTTCACGTCTGCATGAGATAGATTACTAATTTGCCGCAAATTTTTACCTTGGCTCTGACACAACCTCCTAGTTCAAAACTCAATGTACAAACCACCTCTTCTGCTGTATAGTAATTCTTCCAAGCTACCCAGTGGCTTACCAATGAGTAGTCCATTGGGACCTTTACTCGCTGATTTCTTCATACTGATGATAGAAGCATTACTGCGGAAGTACCCAGGTACCATAATGCTCAGCTTATGTAGATGACAACCTGACTTTTTGTTCTTTGGAGCAGCATCTCTTACAGTTGCTCGAACACGGCACACGCCAAATTACCTGCGAACTAAAACAGATGAATTATCTGCCATATCTGGATATCCTCATCAATCGAAGGGATTATGGATTTATTAATTGATCCGTTTATCGAAAGACAGCTTAGTCCGACTAATACTTGCAATACACTAGCTCCGCACTAGTGCGGTACAAATGGGCACCTGTGAAGGCTCTAGGTAGTCGTACCAGGCGAATTTGCTCAGCCGACTGTTGCTGATGAGCTAGCGTTAGTTAAGGCAATACTTGTGGCAAACGCCTGTCCTTTAAGATTTATTCAGAAACACAGACAACTGCGAGGGACGAAAGACTTGGTGCAAACTACAGCCAAGAAAGATCTCTAAATGCAGTCGTCTTTCAAAGATGTTTTTAACGCACTGCAGACAACTAAGCGTATAATATCGGTTACGCGAGGAAGCTACTTTGCTGCATAAGTTATCACCGAGCGTTCAGCGTAACAAACCTAGTCTGTCGGAGCTAACTCACACTGCGTGTAAAAATTCGTCTGTGACTACGAAGCCAATTACGTGGGCAGAACTGTTAGGACTCTGACTTCCCGAATAAAGTAACACGTGCCAAGGTAGGTTCAACGTGAAATCGCCCACACCCCCTACCCCCACCCTCAAACGTAAGCAACCGGTTACTTCGCTAGGCATACACCTTCTGGTTCCAAGTTACTGGGCAGAGCTATGCTCAGCATTCAAAGTTATTTTGCCTCCCTTGCTAATCCCCACTCCTTTCAGTTTATCGAGGCTGTCGCAATAAGCCGAATGAGGCCTGTCCTCTGCATTCACAAACTATTTTTCAGGCTGGCTAGGACCTAGGAGGAAATTTCGTCATTCACTCTGTTTCCCGGGCTTGTCTGGTCACACTCAATGTTGGCTGCACTTATGGTTGTCGGGTATTGTTGATGGTCCTGGAAAAGCTACGAAACGCGTGGATCTGCCGACTTTCGTCCTCTTCGTTGTAGGGTATTAACTACTTTGCATTTCACATTACTCTCTCCATGTAAGGTTCGCTCACATTCTTCAGGCTTTCCCTCTTCGATTATCTACCATACTTTTTCCGTGCGCAGACAACTTGACCATTTTTCTTCGTTTTTAACTCTTACATCATCTTTGTGTAATACCTATTTCTCCAGGTCACCATAGGGGAGGACAAACTGCTTCGATTCAGTGGGGTTCCCATGGGTGAAGCTTGCACCATTGTGCTACGCGGTGCTACCCAGAGCATACTGCAAGAAGCCGAACGCTCATTGCACGATGCCCTATGTGTTCTTTCTCTGACTGTGAAGGATCCACGCACAGTTTGCGGTGGTGGTGCCATGGAAATGTGGATGGCCGAAGCTGTCACTCGGGGTGCTGCTGAAACTCCCGGAAAGATCTCGTTGGCCATGGAGGCCTTTGGTCGAGCACTGCGACGTTTACCACTGATAATCGCTGATAACGGTGGTTATGACAGCGCTGATTTGATCTCTCAACTCAGGGCATGCCACACCAAAGGACAGAACACAATGGGGCTTGGTACGTTTAGAATGTAGTCATGTTGCTTCGGTCATAACTCTTTATCACTGTCAGCAGTCCCGTTGCCGGATTTTTTGCTGGTTGCATACATCAGTCCCTAATCTTTGACATATATAGTTTACTAGACCTACTTCTTCTTCTTTGGTTCCGTTCCCTACCTCATCGCCTGTATACCACACCTAACTTTTACAGATATGGTCAATGGTGTCGTAGCTGACATGAACGCTTTGGGAATTTTGGAGTCATATCGCGTGAAGTATCAGCTGGTTGTTGCTGCATCCGAGGCTGCCGAAATGATTATGCGTGTGGATGACATTATCAAATCTGCACCTCGCCGTCGTGGTCCTCCGCGATGTGGCTAATAAATGCGACTAAGTATTTCCCCCTTGTCCCGGTCGTTTTTGATCAATAAACACCATATCGCTATATCAATACATTTTCTATTCTAACTGGGATTTAGGTTTATCATGCAACATAACCTGGCTTCTGCGTTCCATACTGTTCGGTTATTTTTCAATTCGGTATAATCGTACCTACTCCGCGTTCGTCAACCTCAGTAAGGTGTTTCGGACACACCCTCGTTACTGCTGCTACTGGGCCTTTGTGATTTTGTAATCCACAGGTTATCGGTTCGAATCCACGTAGACGCAAGCGACCTTTCAGTATACTCAGCCAGAGAAAGAGCGGCAGTGGTCGCATGGCAGCGAAGCATCGATACAGTGTGCCAACGTACAGCTGGTGCCTTTGCCTTTCTATACCGATACGTTTTTGCGGCTGTCCCCATTGGCAATCCACACATTTACGTTAGTATCTATAGTGTGGACACATGGGAGATGCTGGAGGGAAATCCGCCGCTATGCGAGACTCAAAGTCCTCTCTTCCACATCAACAACAACCTACCGTTTAGTAACGTTGATAATGCGCTTTCTTTTTGACCTGTCGTCACTGTTACTGCTGTAGCACATGACAATCCGCTTGAAAGTCTTGCCAACGATAACTCCGTTTCAGCCAGTGTCTACAGCTTACATTTTATACCATCCCGATTTGGGGTTACGTGCGTTTCCCACGTGTGACAATTGCCTTCTCTGGATGTTTATTGGTTCAAGTTAGCCTCTCGAATCCACCGGTGACGAGGGTGATTACCCCGTCCAATTCCCTTTTTTTGTACTTCAGTTCCGTTACAGGTGTATTTCTAGATGCGTGCCGATTGGATCTAAGCTGACTTATATTATTTTCATTATTGTTTCATGTTCATTATCCCGGATTACTGCGATACGACTTGGCATCGTACAACTTGCCTGTATATAGTTGCTCGTTGTAGTGTAAATACGTCATCAATTTCTTATTACTTGTCCTGACCGTCTTGACGTGTTGTTTCCATGATAACGCATAATATTAGCATATGCGATTTGCGCCACACAACACACGCACGTACCAGATTGATAGTGAATTGGACTCTGCGGTAACAAACGGATTTCCATGCGTTCTATTATCGACATATTTTTGGGGCACTAGAAACTTTTCCAATCTCTGCCTTTTTCTGGCGGTTACTATGTTTACTGTACCGAACCTCTCGCTCACCTCTGTCTGTTCTGGACTCTCACCTGTGACTTTTCGGTTCCGTAATCTCTCCATTTGGCCTTTCGAAATCTCTCATCGAGTAAATGGCTCCGCACCATCGTCATCGGCCATCCGCACCACCGGTTATTCCTCTGTTGCTCGAGAGCATACTGTCGTCCACTTGAAAGCAAAATAGTAGTAGTGTGTCAGCTGTACGCCGTAACGGCGTTTCGCTGCCGCGCGACCACCACCATTCGCGCGCAGGCTGAGTATACCGCGAGGACGCCCACCCCTACGCGGCTTCGAACCGGTGACCTTATGGTTGCAAACCAAACGTGCAGATCACTTGGCCACCGACCGACTGAAAGCAAAATAACTCATGTCCGATAAGCTGCAGGTCTAATGAGAATACATAATGCGTCAGCTGTATGCGGTAACGGCGCTTCGCTGCCGTGCGACCACAACCAGTCGCACGCAGGCTGAGTATATCGCGAGGACGCCCACCCCTACGCGCATTCGAGCCCGCGTCGCAAGATTACGAGACAAGCTCGTTACCTCTATGGTAGGTGCAGATCTACCGCGACACCGGTCAGTTGTGATCGCAGGCGTGACATCCGAGCAGTGTTTCTGTAGGCTCACTGAAACCTCGTGTGAAGGACGTAAAGCGATTGCGTCGAGGCTTACGGTTAAACACGCGTCTGCCTCTCACCGTCTCACGATTCAGGCCCCGTAACTATCTTTATCTCATCGAGTCAGCCCCACTTGGCTGGAGGCCGCGTTCCTTTCCTCTCCTATTCCTTATCCTTTACAAGCTACCTTGATTGTTCGTTCGGAGACTGCTTTTGACGTTACTCACTACATTTACGAGTAGACTGCGTCTAACGATCTAGAGTGCAGTTACACATTTATTCTCTCACCGTTAACTCTCGGCATCAGATTGTTCGTCGGGCGACGCTCACTACCTTTACAGTCTCCTGGATTTGTTCACCTCCTCTCAAGAGATTGTTGTTTGTAGAGAAAGTCCTTTACAAGTTCCTGTCAGGTTACCCAGGCATAGACAGGAGAACGATTACAGCTCCCAACCAAACTTTTTGTTCGAAATCTTACCACAGGACAACGGGGTTTTAGCACTTGGCTACAAAGAGTCACCCTCACTCCAACCCTCAACCTGGAGGGCCAAGAGACTGAGTTTTTCTGGTCTCCAACCATTGAGTATCATCATCCAGCACTACTCAATGGATCGTTGGGGCACACAAATCATCGCACCACGTTTAGGTCCAGTCTAGTCGCGGATGTCCGGGCGAGCGACTCATTTTCTTGGTGTATGCTGACGACATTGTCCTAATTTGTGACAGCTCTCAAACGTGCTAAGCGGTACCGGACAGCTGCGCACTGGCTGTCAGTCATTTTTGACTTTACTTTGCTCCCTCGAGATGCAAAGTTATACAGGATTGACAAGAACCCACCCTTGCGCTGACCCTTGGTGGTGATCAGCTAGAAGTTGTCCAGGAATTCAAGTACCTGGGCGGCTATATTGTTGCCCGTGGGATCGATGATGAGGTCACGAGCAGTATAGCAAAAGCTTGAGGTGCTTTTGCCAATCTTCGCCACAGGTGGCGCCGACGCGATGTCACTCTCGCCCTGAAGAGCAGAGCGTACAATGCAACTGCCTTTGCAACCCTCCTGCATGGTTGTGAAACCTGGCTCATCAAGTGGATCGGCATAAAAAGGCTAGCTACGTTCGGTCATCACTGCCTTCGCAGCTTAGCTCATGTCTGGTGAGAGCACCGCTGAACAATGGGCGGTTCAAAAAACTTACCACAGGACCACGGGCTACAGGGAGTTCATTTCATGAAGTAAGGATCCACCGTCACTCTAACCCTCAACACAAAACTTTACTCTAGCGGATGACATTAACTCGTCTGTGGATGTTGATGATGTACACAGGCGGTGTTATGCTGTATAGCTCAGCTTAAATAATTTAAATAGCAATTTTCGTTTGTTTCAGTCACTGGACGTTAGACGATTTCACACTATATGTAGTCTCAAACAGGAATCAGACACATCCACTAGACTTTAATTGTTTGTCTATCTCTCCCATACGATCCGAACTGCTCACGCACCAGGCGGCGATGGTCAGGCCGTGTTGCGCATTTCAGCCCACCGACTCTCGCGTCGTGCGCTGCTTACATGCTCGCTGTCTGGGTTGAAGAGAAAGAGAGGCGGCCGAACGATGACTTGGTCGATAAGAATGAAAACCCCCACTTCGAAGTCGGCATCGGTTATTACCTGCCGGGCTGGGGTCTGAAGTACGATAAACACTTGTTGATATGGCGAAGAGTCGACCCCAGTGACGTTTGTGTTGTGCGTTTCTTTATTCTTCCTCTCCCCTTTAGATTCTTCCTCAAATTACTATCATGCAAAGTGGATAATGTGATATTTAACCTTATAATACTCGCTTTTTGCATTTTAGTCTATACTTTTAGCATCTGTCCTTTGTGTTACGGCACATTAGCTGAGGTGTGTTTCTCATCCTCAGCTAACGTGTATTAATGGTAATGATATCTTATACAGCGTGCTTTTGTCACGATTCTCTCGTGACGGCACTCGGTTTCCAACTATGGTGGTTTGTAATATATTTTTTTCTTTGGTGCTGTGGCTCGTAGTGTCGGAGTCACCTTCAGTGGGGTTTCAGTGAGTAGTGTTAATATTGGTGTCTCTGATCTACCTCCCATACGCACTTCAGTAGAATGTTGAAAAATCACTTCAAAGCTCGTCCTCTTCTCGTTATTTTCATATGCGCTTCCACTAACTACAGCATGATAATCAACAAGGCACCCCACTCGAAACCGCCCACACTATTTTCATGGTTGTGATCGTGATAGCTCGTCCGATTTGCTTTTCGGAGTCGAACCACCGCTTGAGTTACGTTTTCAGGTTGCTACTCGCCGCATTGGAATCGGTGACTGGTGACCCAATCATTTTATCAATCGCACGCTATCTTGGCACTACAGCTCGTCTCATTAAACCTACCCATGAGACGAAATGTCGTTCTGGATGTGAGCTTACTAGAACACTGGACGGGCGATGTTGCACTCTTTTAAAACAGTGCTTGTTGTTCTGGAGCATCCACCTCGGACACGCTCTAGAATTTACTAAATGATCCCTTATCTGGTTGTAGCAAAAGGCACAAATTTGTGCTCACTTACCAATTATTCAATCCCGTCTTCGGCAAACTTGCAGCGTTCGAGTGAATCGGACTGCCATTTCCCAGTAATGAACAAGGCAGATGGGCTGAATGTCGATTGGATCCATCTCTTACTCGCTGTGAAAAAATATCTAGGGCAGGTTTCTCATTCAGTCACGTGCATCTTCATGAGGAGTACACCTCGGCTCCATCAACTAGACTAGACAAGATATGTAACGTGGTTGCACTGAGTTTTGAAGTGTTTGCAATGGCCTCTGACCAGTGTTTTCAGGATGGATTAGGACCATCGGTACACGGGGCCGTGACATATGGCAAGATGCTGATGCAAGGACACCCTGGTTTCGTTCAGAGACGTCTAAAGAATGGGTCCGAACAATATGGTTGTGAACGAAATGTGTGAGTGTCATCAGATGTCCGGTTGGCTAGCGTACATCGCTGCAGTTAGCCCCATGTTGTTGGTATACAACTAGTACACTGACCATAATTAACCTTAGTTGGACCATGCGTATCAGGTGTGGTCATAGTGTGAGCAACGCTGATGTCATCCGGCTGGCGTTGTAATGATTCATCTGTGTTCATTCCATTTGTATTCTGGATGTTTTGCTCTTCAAACTGCCTTCCATCCTGTTGTACACTGTTTTCTGATGGTGCACCGTATTGTGTGTTACCCCGGGGTTGTCTGAGGAAGAACCAAGGACTTGCTCATACCGTTGCATGCCTTTCACTGAAGAGGGTGTTGGGTATCGACCACAGACCAGC